ATTCTTAACGCTTGTGGGCTTCTTGTGTAAGGGTCACTTGTTTATAAATGTTGAACCTTTGATCATACACTGTGGGATTCCAGCTGCAGGATAACCAACTGAGTGCTGAAGATCATATAGGACTGTTTATCTCAAGAGCTACTCAGAAAATGGCCATTTCTTCTCTACTGAAGTTTATGAAATCACATTATCCTTTATTCCTTTCTTCTGACATAACTACTCAGGAGTTTTCTTATAACTCCAGATGGCATGTTCCTCTTTTGAAGTCACTGCCTTTACAATAGTGTCACACCAGTAGTGTTTGATTAAGTTTATGTAAATGAGAACTCCTTCAGTGTCTTTGAACATTTTTTCCAGTCCCAAGTAGCAGCAAATCTTAAAAAGCAGTGCTGATTTCTTTCTATCCTCAGCATTTCACTTTCTGTGGCTTGAAGAATTGGGGAGAGACAATAGGGAGAACTCACGGATTTTAGTTATAAATTCTGGCATGTACATATGCCTACAATACAGGCCTAAGCTACATAGTTTGAAAAAACCACAGATATTAAAAATAGTAGCATATGCAATTTGTCAGAAATGTGCATTTTCACAGTCCTTTTTGGCAATATTATGATTTAAGGGCTGATATAGCTGCCTTGGATCACAGCACTGCATTCTGATATTACAGCTTTAGGTGGAAGGCATAGCTTTCTGTTTCATCCACAGTGAGGACTCTGTTTCTTTAGTTATATTTTATTCCCTTTCTCTTATTTGGTGACTCTTATGGCAGAATTTGGAAGAAAACTGCATTCAGAAGGGTTAAAAATTAGTATTTCATTATAGATACTTAAAATTCATCTTTAAAAAATATAAAGGCAAATATTTTAAGTGTGTGGTGGATAATAATTTACAAATATAAAATTAACATTTAAGTATAAGTTTATGACAAGAGGAAATGTGGAAAGTTTGCAGGGGGAACATTTCAAGATGATTTTAGTAAACTTGTTTCAAAGTTATTTGTGACATTCAAAATATTTAGTAAATAAAACCATAATAAAGACTGGTAGCTCTGTTTTGTTGAGAGGTTTTATTTGTATGCATTAAATGTCTCTTTTTTTACTGGAACAATAGGATATTCTTTTTGTAAATGTTGTGTGTGCTTCAAGTGCTTCAGAAAAATGTGTGAAATAGTTAAAAGGCAATTTGGAAAATTTAAATAGAGATCTTCGATACATATGAGCAGTAACAAAAATGAGTCATGTTCTTTTATAGGGAGAATTTTTAATTTTCCTTTTCTTTTACAAGTCTGTTCTAAACAGTAAACAATTTTAAAAGATTTTTGCCACAGAAAATTAGGTAAAAAGCTTTTACCATGTCAGAGTAAAGCTCAAGAAATTGCAGGTTTTAAATGGATTTCTTTTGTATGCTCTGTGTGGTTTTCAAAATAATTTTAAATATTCAGACTATTTAAATATACCGAACAATAGGAATTTCACATTGAATTGTAGTATCTCAGGCCACTGCCATCAGTCTTGCTGCCTGCTGTGTGATTGCAGATGACATCTTCTGTGCTGTAAAGTGGCTGGAAACAGTTATGCAACTAAAGCTAGATAAAGGAAATAATTGTTAAGGTCTCATTGAAAGCATAAGCTGAGTGATGAAAAATCTTGTCAATTCTCTCATTCCCTTTTAGTTTTGCAAGGATGTTATGGCAATAAAGAGATACCTCCTGTAAGATAAGAAGCAGTAACAGAAAAAAAGCTTCACAGATTTGGCAATTCTCTATACTTTTAGTGCTGCAGTTTGACATATCCCTTTTTCCAAATTATGGGTACTTGGAGATGTTCATATGCAACAGATGTGCTCAAAAAAATTATTTTCAAGATTTAGCTAAGTGCCGCTTTTATAAACTGTATGTCTGAGAGCAAAGGCTTATTATAGAAAATATAAACATTACAAATTGATCATGGAATTTCACATGTATGTTTGTACTGGAAGGCTTTTACAATTATGTTTAATTTAATTGTTTAATCAGAATGAAAAAGTACCCAATTGGAACTAAATGTAATTTTTATAGGAGATTTCTTCCATTTTATTGACACTGAAAAAGAAAACACATATGCACAAAAAGTGCTTTTCAATGGTAAACCCTGTAAGCGTTAAAAGCAAGAATTATCTGTTGGATTAACTTGAGTGTTGTGTAGTTTGTTTTGGTTTTTTTTATAGGCCTAATGATTTTTGGTAAAAAAGTTTCATAATTTACACTTGTTAGAAGTGGGAAATTATTACAGTGATGTTAAATTTCATTAATACTGTGGCTTAAAATAAGAGACCTGAAAAATACTTCTTTTTAAGCTAAACTGTACATTGGTTAAGTTTCTTGAGTAGCTATTGAAAAGATGGACAGCTATGTCATTTTAATGTTGATGAACAGTCCTCTAATATGTTTTGAAAATAAGTAGGTCTATTAAGATAGTGACTTAGAGAGTTGCACCTGAAACAAGTTCTCTAAGATGATAGAATGATATTTTATGCTGCTTAATAACAAAGATTAAATTAATCTCCTTTACAACAAAAGAGGGTTATTAATGTCTGACATACTTTGACAGAATTTGGATTTTCCAAACTAAGTTCTTCCCCCAATTCTCTTTTAAGAAAGAAATGGATTTCTTTCTTAAAAAACAAACGTTGAGGTTTTGCCATCAGAGGAGGGCTGTGTCACTGGTTCTTTGAGGGCATCAACAACTGTCTGCTCTTTGGATTAACAGGAGAGGCAGGGATAATCCCAAATGGCAGGGGAGGGCCCTTGCTAGCTGACGCCCATCTTGCTGCCCCCAGGGGAGACAAGGAGGGCAAGCAGCAGGCTGGTGGTGTAGTTCTGCTTAGAGTCAGATCATCAGTTAGAATCTTTTTTGGTGCACTGAAGGCCCTGGCTCTGGTTATGCTAAATAACAGTAAAATTTCTTCTCAATTTTGCGAATTTATGTCTTGATGCTCTTACTTTTTCCTTTTGAAACATTTTTGGGTTTAGATTTTCAGAAGAAGAAATTAGTATAAGCCATAAAACAGTATTTAAAAACTGAATAATCAAATGTTGCTTTTCTTCCATAAACCAAGACTGAAAGGAATAATTGCTTTGTTTTGACAAGGGAACCAAAGAAGTATGACATAGAAGTCTTACAGGAATGCATGCATGAAAACTAGGCTGTCATGTTTACAAGGTGATTTTTTTTCATTTGATGAATTTTTCAAACAGTTAGTAGTCTGTAAAGTATACTGATATGTTTTTCCAAGGAGCATAAGCTTCTTTTGCCTCTAAAGAGTTAGGATTAAGTATAAATACATAATTTTGATTGTGCAGCTATTTAATGAAAACTGTAATTCATTCCAAACTGTTAGTATTTTTGCAGTATATCTATCTATCTATCTATCTATCTATCTATCTATCTATCTATCTATCTATCATACAGTTCATTTTACACCAATCATTGATTGTTCTGCAGTTGAATAAAAGATGGCTTTGAGTTATAGGTATTGAATGAAGTTAAAATTAAATTCTGTGTAAACCTTTATAAGAGAAAAGGGTGTGCATGGCCAAGTCTAATGTAAGTAGTATCATACTTGAAGAAAGAGCTGTATTTTCAGTATTCGTTTTATCTCAGTTCTGCAAAGTGCTGTTTAATGGTTTTCATTTAACTTCTACTTTTAATTAGTGTTTTTAATTGTAGTAACATCTGTTAAGCTTATGTTAAAAGAGTGACATTTCCTTAATGCTTTAAGAGCTGTATTTGATTTACATCCAGGCTTTTCCGCCAGCAAGTGATTGAGTTGCAGCTACATCCCAAAATGTTGCAAGTGTTTGAATTGTTATTTGAGAAGAGGTATTCTGTAGCTTCTGAGAATTTAAGAAAACACTTTATCCATTAAATATTTCATATTGGTGTGATGTTAATTGAGATGTGCAAGATATTATGCTTTGGACAACTTCCGTGTTTTTTTTAATGTTTCTTTGGAGGAACAAAACCGGAAATGTGCATTTCTGCTACTTTTAAGTCTACACCTATGACCAAAACCAATCATCTTGACCTTGCGTATTAAATATCTAATGTTCTTTTTACACATGTGTTTTGCAGACAGTTCATTTAGAAAAATTCAGTCTATTTTTGTAGTGCCTCTGGATAACAACCAATACTGTAGCTGCTTTGTAAAAGAATATTGCTTGCCGGAAAAATGTATTTATTATATTTTGCTGCCAAACCGTGTGCATATGAATATTATGTTTGTTTCTCATGTTGTTGCTGCAATATGGATAGTATTAAATATGACGTACTAAATAACAGACATGAGATATACTGATTATTAAGAAGGTTCCAGTTTTTATATCATATTTTTCCTTAATTTTGGTAGTAAGTCATCACTGATGTTAAAATAAATTTCATTATTTCTCCACAAGAGAATGCGGAAAAAAATAGAAAACAGGAAAAAAACAAACTGCTAATGCTTTGCTTCTGATATAAAGACACAAAGGTAGTATATTAGTTCGAATAGGCTAGTGGATTTGACCCATGTTTAGTAAAATGAGTACACAGCAAGACGAAGCTTGGTTTAGTCTGGATTTTTATGTTTGCATGTATTTGCAATGATGTCCTGCATTTCCAGAAAACAGTTACTCCTTGGACAGAAAGACAGAAATTATAAGTGTACAGAAAATAAGTTTACCCTGTAAAATGTTTGGTTTTAGTTTCCATTCCATAGCAAGAATTTCTTTCTAAATCTTAAAAAAACCCAGCTACTGCTGTGATTAAGGTAATTTAAACTAAAGAAATGCAAGATACTATGAAACTTATGTCAACACTCGTGTTCCTGGTTTCCCTCTGTAGCAGTCCATGCAGAAGCATAATAATCTAATACTTACATTATTATATAATCTAATATCTCCAAAGAACAAGATGTTGTGTACTTTGGTACTTCTAGTCAACATCTTTCTATTATTTAACCATTTTGCTGTATTTGTTTTACAGATTCTAAAATGGAATGGGGAGGAGAGTATTCTTTTGATTCTTCCAATTTAGACTGCTTGTTACATGTTCTCCCTGGAGAATTGGAATTCCAACAAATCCTTAGTGATCTTGATGAAAAAATAAAGAAGAACTCTTACAGGTAAAGAGTATTTTATTTGTATCCAAAATACTAGTGAAAGTCATTGCATTTGGGAAGAAATGTGGTTTAACTTACCTTTCTTTTCTAATAGTAGGTTAAAATTCTGATAAATATTTCAGCAGTAATTTTATTTTAACCACTCAAGCATTTAAGAAAATTTTAATGCTGTATAATTATTGTGCTATAGTCTTTCTTTCTATGGTATTTTTAACAGTTATATCATCTTAACCTTAGGTTCTGTTGAAGTAGGTGTGATAGTGAAGGAAGAAAATGTGAATTCCCATGACAGCTGTATTTTCTATTACTATGAGATAGAATTTCCTACTAATGAGATAAATTTTTGTTGACTAAAAGAACTACAGAATTTGACAAAAAGCAAATTCAGTATGTTGTTTAGGCATTTCTAATGAAAGTAGAAAAATTAATTCAGTTAATATATGTATATTTTTTTCTTATACGATCCATTGTTTTACAATTTCAGTTAAAACTTTTGTGCTGCAATTACACATTTTCTTTCTACAATTTATAATATATTTCTTAGTCCACCTCTTTGTAACATACTGATTTCCAAAAATCAGTGTTACAGAAAGAGTAGAGTACTAAAAAAGTTTGTTGTTGACGCACATTTTTTTGCATCAATACAAAATAATCAGCTCTGGGTTATGTACCTTATTTGTGGCTTAACACTTTAGTACCTTTGTAATACTTTCATCAGCGAAAGCTGCTCTTAAGCAAATAAAGTTTTTGTCGATTTTAAAAAATAAGTATACAGTCAGACATATGGTAGGATTTTCTATTAAATTTTGAAAATGCTCACCTTTGTGAGCATCTTTAAGTATGAACAGTGCATCTTAAAGTAGGATTTCAAAGAACATCCGTCATGACATCTGTTTTAAGATTGTATCATTTTAATGTAGCCCACGTTTGTCAGTGGTCTTTGCTCCCAGACAGCTTCTGCAAGGATGGAAATAAGCCATTGCCATACCTCACTGAAAACTGATTTAGATAATTTCTCGGTTATTGTCAAGGTTATGCTAGGCTAAGAGTTTTTTGGGGGGGGATATTTCTATTAGTCTCCCATTTTCATTTAAAAACTTAGTGTTTACTAAAGTATTTGCAGTACTAATAATCCCACGGTAGCAATGGTAGTGAGGATCTGGTAAATATGCTGTTATGGACCACTGCATAATACAATTTCATGTTAGAGTTTTCCAGCTGTTGACATGAGCAAAATGTAGATACTTAGAAATTAGTTTATGTCATAACATAGTTAATTACACAGGTAATTAAGTTTCGTGTGTCTATGGTATTGTATAACTGGAAAAAACAGCATCAGCATTTTTAGGATAACTGTTGTCACCTCTTCAACTACGAAATAAAAGTAATTTTGTTGTCATTCTTCAGAGATATCCTGAGACTTAGGAAGATTATTCTCAAAATGAGCCTTTAGAACGAATGCTTCACTACTGTTTCTTGTTTTAATGTGTGAAATATGCATGCTGCTTGTTGAGAAAACATCTGACTATGGGAAGGGAAGCCAGCTGTTCATTCTTTTAAGTGGTACTTTATAGCCACTTAGCATTTTATGTTACATTTTATATTAACATCATCACAGTGGAAGTGTTTGTATGTCTTGAAGGAGGCTGATTGTCAACTGTTTTACCTATCTAGTCTTACAAATTAGAAGGAAATTTTACTGTAAGGTTTTTTTTACAGTATATTTTATTAAAGGAGAGCTGGAATTTGGATTAGGATGTGATACACAGCCATGCAGGTCAGGAAAAATTTCTGCTGAATTGACACTTAAGCTAGCTTGACCCTTATTTTCAAAAGGAAAGACATATAGTAGCTCTGTAGTTACCAGGTGCTATTTTGCTCCTGTACTATGTCAGTTTCAGAAAGTTGACCGAATTTAAAATAAGATGGACAGCAGCTGGTGCGACTTTTAAATTAAAAGGAGTCCTTTTATTCCTAATATATTAGAGGTGGCATGGAATGAAATAATTTTCAAGTTACCATTGATCTTTCTAAGTGGTATTATAAGAGCAGCTCTGTGTGATACAGTGATGCAATTGAAATACAATCCATTTTTCATCAGATAGATTTATGCTTTCATTAGACCACAGAGAATGAACATAATAGTATACATCATATGTATGTATTTAAAAATAAAACATTGTGTAAAAAATTATGAGGCAAGAGTGTATAAATCATTTGACTGCTCATTTATTGCCTTCTAACTGAATAGGTTTTATAAAATTGTGTGACATGACAAATCAGATATGGTTTTCGTTGAATTGCCTTCAGTATTTTTGTACTGTACCAATTCTATTTGGTGCTGTAACAACAACAAAAAAAGCCATCTGTGTGCAATTGTGTTATATGTAAATTTTAATGTAGTAAGTGGTTCATTCATTCACTGTTATTTAACAGAACTCTTATTACACTTTGAATGTTAAGTTTATTTTTAGAGCAGTTTATAGAAGCAGGTGAATATGAACTCTCAAAACGATCATCATTGCTGGCCAGTTTTGAGTACAAGGGTAGTCTCAAGGTTATTCTCAAGTGTGAAGTTGTGTTCATCAGGTTGGCCTTTTGTCTTCATTCTTTCCTTTCACAGTTACTTTGACTTTTACTGCTCATCAAAACTGAGGATTTGGATTATTTTTCCGAATTGGTTGTTTAAGAATTACTAACATTTCACGTGTTAGCAATTCACAGAATTAAACTTGCAGCTTATATTATATACTTCTAAGCAGGAAATACAGTACAGAGCTTGAAGCCAAGCCTATAGTTCATAACTCGAAGTGGTTGCTAAGCATGAGGTTTCTTCAACACTTGATTTTTATTTATATATTCAATTTTTTCGTTAGTAAGTGCTGCCTTTTAGTTGTGATAAAGGAACAAGATTTTATGAGACTGTAGGACAGTAGGAGATACTCTGTGTCTTCATCAACAGAACAATTGCTTAGAATTCAACACAATAATAATTTTATCTCTACAGCATCCTGGAGACTATAAATTTGTGAGGCTTTTCACAAAAGCCTAATCTGATAAACTTTGCACTGGTTTAACACAGCCTGGTTTTTTTGGGGCGGGCAGGAGAGCCACAGAGGTGCTTTCTGTGAGAAGCTTCTAGAAGCTTCCACAACGTCCAACAGACCCAGTCTTTTATGGCTCTGAAGATGGACATGCTGCTGGCCCAATCAGAGAAGTTGTCAATGCCTCTGTGATGACACATTTAAGAAGAAAATCCGCACAGGAGCAGCTTTTTCTCAGGGGTGGCGAGGCACAACCGCCAGGACTGTCTTGGTGCTGCAGACACAGCCATGTGGCTGCCGCCGTGGCCACTACCATTTCAGCACAACCCACGGCGAGCTCTCCCTGCCTGGCTACCCCTACCAGCCGTACTGCAGGCAGAAGGGCAGGGGCAGCAGCTTCTCCTCTCTGGTGCCCCGCAAGAAGAGAAGCATTGAATGGTCCCAGCACCACGGCAGCTGCACCAGCTGGGCTGCGTGGCTGGCAGCGGAAACATGGAGAGCGATTCCCCCACACAGAACCTAGACAAAATCAACTTTTCAGCGCTGCGAGATCCTGCAGACATCTTTAAAAAGCTAGAATTTGTTGGCAATGGTACTTAAGACCAGCAATTTTTTTCCTAGTCAGAGAAAGAGGAGGAAGTGAAGACGAGGAAGCAGACAACATGGTGATGCCAAGATCAGTGAAAGGAAAGAGGGAGAGGAGGTGCTCCAAGCCTTGGAGTCGATATTTCCCTGCAAGCTGTGGGGAGGACTATAATAAAACAAACTATCTCCATGTAATCCATGAAGTCCATGGGGGAATGCAGAGATCCAGTTGCTGCCTGTGGGAAAAGTCATCATGCTGGAGCGGGTGGATGCTGAAAAAAGCTGTAATCCAATGGGAGACATGAAGGAGAGAGAAGGACCTTGTTTCCAGAGACAGAAAAAAGAGGGACCTTGCTTGCAGACTAGAGCAGCTTATCCTTAAAGAACTACACCTCGTGAACTAGTGACTCATGCCAAAGCAGTTTTGGGAAGATTGTCTGGCCCGTGGGAGGGACTCACATTACAGGAGGAGGTTGGGCAGGACTGCTACTTATGAAATTGGAGCCACACTGGAGAAGTTCGCAGAGAACTGTTTCCCGTGGGAAGGACCCCATAGCATAGGAGAAGAGAGACTCCTCTCCCTAAAAGCAAACTGAAGTATTTCAAGTGACAAACTGACCAAGCACCTGCATGCCCTGCCTCCCTGTGCTCTCAATAGGAAGGAGAGACAGGCTGGGGGGAAAAGGTGTTTTAAAGGCTGATTTTACTCCTCATTATCCTCTTCTGACTGTTAATAACAAGTTTACTTTATACCTTTAAGTTTGATCCTGTTTTGCCCTTAGAGTGTTTTCTCCCAGTCATTATCTCAACTCATTAGCCCTTTGTTTTGGTTTTCATGGGTGCCTGGCATGCTGACTGGTGTCAAACCATGACAAACTTCAACCTGACCTAATTAACAGCAGTTTAGTCATAAGGATTTTGAAGGTCTATTTTGAAGGGCTGCAATGGGGTCAGTGCTAGTAAGTGCTTATAGCATTGCATCTTTTCCCATCACCATTTGATATAAATTGTGATAATTATTTGAGAACTAACAAGTTCTTTATCTTGTGAATTATAGATCTGGAAGGTGTCTCGGTAAGGATGTTAGTCTGACATGGTCCAGCTGTTGATCATAACTTTGCTGATTTGCCAAGAAATGCTTGCCAATATCAAAACAAAGAGATTGAGGAGTTTCAAACAGCATATTAAGTCAAGCTATCTCATTCCATTTTCCAGTATTAAAACTGCTGTGAAAAAGGGCTTATGTGTTTTTAAACTGAGATGTGCTGCAGGAGTTATCTTTCTGTCTTATTTTGAAGAAAATCTTTGCTTGTTCTGCTCAGGAATTTTCAGGAAGCAGTTTTGCCTCATATTTCTGTGAGTCAAGAGATTTATCAAAATCTTGGCTTCTTCAACCAAAATCCCAAGAGTGGTTGAGTATTTGGGAGAATTTCAAAATTTGGGCTAATTGTAGAGGAAAAAAACATTATGATTTTATCAGTTTTACTCAGACTTAATATTTATCACAGCTTTGAAAAATACTTTTACTCTTTTGGGTTAATGTAGCTGGCTTGTTGTACAATGCGTTACTTTAGTGTTTAGCTGAGAATTTGATGTTATTACAAACTTTGTCAGAATAGTGGTTGGCTAGTGTAATCACTTTAGTGGACCAATTGCTAGGAATAAGTAAACAAACTGAGAAAGGAATGTATTTTTTTTCCTGTGCAGACTGTGTTGTCTTTGTGCGTAATCACTGAGTCTGGGTTAGTTGTTCCATAGCAACTTGCTAGCTGGGCAGCACAGTTGCTCAGAAATTGGCTGTTTATTGACACACGATGTCTTTATTCAAATATTCAATTATTATCACTGTGCCAGTACCTCAGGTGGTTAATTAGCTGTCATCTACATCTACAGAAGCTGTAATAAAATCTTTGACTGCCCTGTAAAGTATCCCATTTCATTTCATACGAGCATATATATGAGATGATGGGGTTTGAACCCTTATTTGTCACTGTCATGTTTTAGTCAATGGAGTTGAAAAACTCATGTTTCACTGCCTGAATTCTGAAATAACTTACCAAGAAAAAGCTTGCATCTTGTGACAGAAATATCTCGGGCCTTTAAAACAAGAATGGAAATTAAAGGTGTGTGGGCAGTGGTTCAGTTAGAAGTGACTGTTCTTATGTGGTTAAGCTGTTGAGTAACTTTATCTTGGTAAAGTGTAGCAAAGCCATCACCATTCTATTTCTTCTGGTTTCAATAATACAGGTACTTTACAGTTGAGAGTGGATATGTTTTGTAAGGAACTAAATTAGAGATATGCAATAGTTTTCAAAGTCCTTTAACCAGGTGTTGTGTCTTTATTTTATATCTTTGGGTTCCAGATCAAGAGAAAGTTTAACAATGAAAATGTCTGTGTGAATTACCCTGCTAAAAGTCTTTCTGCAAATTTTTTTGCTGCTCACAGCAGCAAAACACAAATACACAGACTTCCAAATTATAAGACTTGTTTTTTGTATGAATGTCCTATACCTCTAGCAGTCAAGGTTTTTAATGAGTAATAACAGTAGTTTTCTAACACTACTTGCATCTTTAACAGCAGTGAAAACAGTGATCTCATTTATTTTGAAACAGTCTGTTTTGAATAAAAGACGTGTAAACTGATTCTAAAGCTGTGTTTCCATGAATGTGAGGATCATAAGAATAAAGAACATGAGGTTAAAAGATAATTTTACATTATAGCTTAGCAGTTTAATTTAACCAATGTCATTGCCATTTTATGGCTGCTCCTTATGCTAGATGAAATAAATTGAAATGTGCTTGTTAGAAATTGAAAGGAGTTAGAAGATCATACTTCAAATTACTCACAGTAATCTTAGACAATGGCAAATGATACATAGAGGGGGCAACCCTTATTCTGATACCATACGTTTCAAAATAATGTTGTGTTGACCTTGTATGATAGTATAATAGTGCTTACACTATCAGTTCCATTACAGTACTTTTTAAACTGTTTGTTCATTGATAAAGCCACTTAAAAAGCATTCTCTCCAGATGATTAGGCTATTTGTAAAAACTATCATTATCTTAATAAATAAGAGCACCTAAGAGCTCTTACATTGAGATCGTCTCTCTGCATTGTGGGTACTTACCAAATGTTTGTCCAGAAAAACACTCCAATGTGGACACAGATAATATAACACAACTTTGCTTTTGTTTGTTAAAGAACTGCAGGCACCCTCACCTGTAAGAAGGAGAAGGTGTTTCAGTCACATAATTTTCACCTGCGTAATGGTATGTTAGGAGTACTAACCGCAAAAAATATGTGCCCACAAAGGCTCAGGGTGCTACTTGTGTGGGACTAAGCATTTGTTTCTTGAAAAATCAGTCAATTAAAAAAAAATTGCAAGCATAACTCTTAGGTTTCTTTGCTACAGTGATGGTTATGTTTTTTCTCTGAGCTTTTACATTTCACTCCTTTCTTAGTAGTTTGGTGACTGTTTTTTTTTCTCTTTGTGTCAGAAGAGTTCCACAGGTTCAAAAAAGTAGACTGAGTCATCTGTGGACAAAAAATTTATTGGGGTCATTAAATTTGTATGTCCATAGTATGTATATCATGTCAGTTGACATCATCTAGGTTAATGCCTCAGTGTGTTCAAAGAAAGAGCTAATTTGCTACTCTGAACATAAAAAAAAATACATTTGCACTTAATGAAAAAATATTACTGGGAAAAAAGGAATCTAGCACTTTATATGGCTTTTAAAAAATTGTACTTTTAAGAGAATTAAATACATTAAGCATATTTTTCTCATCAAAATTACATTTTTGTTTGGAGTTTCTGAAACTTTAAGAAATTTCTGTTCTAAACCAGGAAATCAAAGACTCATTCTACCTACACTGGTATGAAATTATAAAGTTTTTGATACCAGGCTAGATGGTGAGAATAATTTTAATCATATTTAATAGAAGTATTTTTTTTACTTTAAATGCTTGCTTTCTAAACTCAGATAATACACTTTTTTTTTAAAAAAAAGGTAACCAAATTCCTAAATATTTAATTAATGTAATTCATATAAAGGAGTAAGTGACTATAATTAACCATGTTCTTGTATTACTGAGTGTTGACAAAATTCTTAGCAAGTTACAGCAGTGGTTTTGAAACGCTGTTTACCTACAGTATTGTGTATGCTGTAAATAAACAGGATGAAAATATGTTTATTCAATCAAAAACAGCTTTAGTCCTAATTAAATGTTTATTTTGGGAGGATAAAAGGATTAAATAAAATGAACATAGTTATCATGATTTTTACTTGTGGGGGAGGTAATGAGCAGGGTACTGCCACTGAAGTCTATGCTTTTAATACCCAATCAGTATTGAGACCAATTACCAAAATGTCTGATCTTGAGAAGGCTGTAGCTTATTCATAGCTTGTAGTTTGTTAGCTTGATTCATATGTCAAAGGTAAGTGTAAAATTCACTCATAATAGTAGTACATTTGCACAGATTTAACAATAGTCTTTTATACTGCACAATGCAGTAATCTATTTGGGTATGTTTGAGATACATCAGCACACCACAATAAGAACCTTTGATAGTGTCCCAGGAGCCAAGGTATATGAAGAAGGCATTTAGTTTCGTAGTCCCGGGAACAGATTTCACTAACTAAAAAGATGCTTGCCAATCCTTCATCAAGTTTAGGATTGGAATTAATGGCTGAGCTGTGAACCCCAGTTTTGCCAGAATCTAAATTATTTTTTTTCTCACTGAAACGGTATAAAATATTAAGTATTGCTATTGGGAAAAAAAATGTAGACATGAAATACCAAAAAGGTGTTTTTGTTGGAAAATAAATAGAGTTAGATTGCTTTGGATTTTTTTTTGTTTTGTTTTCACTTAAGTATCCACGCAAGTAGAAATAAAATAATTCTGAATGTTCAATTGTTCTTGTGATCTTTGCAAATGAAATCATTGTAAAAACCTAACCGACACATCTGGTTTCATAAAAAGAGTTATGATTCTAGATGAATGTTAAGGAGGGGATGCGCTCCTTGAAAACAAAGTCTGTTTCCTTTCAAATATTCTAATGACAAAACAAGAAAGAAAATATCTGCTTTCTCAGCACAACTGGCTCTGAAATTATTTTCAACAGTTTCTGTGATGTCAGTGGATCTTTAAGTTATTAATATATCTTATGTTTTATAAAACAACTGCTGATTGATAAAGGAGCGAAATGACACATTCACCTTTGAATGCGGTAATTGATTCAGTTAATAGTCTTTGCTTTAGCAAATTAAGACACCAAGGACCAGATATTAGGTTGGATAATGTCTTGTTCATTAACTACTTCATTAAAATGAATAAGATTGTTTGAAAGTGAAGTCATACGTACTCTGGCTGAGGATGGTACAGTCTGGCCTGAAGGAAAGTTTTTTTTAGCTCTAGCTCAACAGTACTTAAATGTTGTTAATTCTGCAAATTCAGATCTTATTTTGTGAGGGTAGCTTAATCTGCGAATAAGAAGGATTAGAGTTACCATAATTTTAAGTAGTTTTCTTTTTAAAATATGGCATATATAAAATACTTTTGTCTCCAAATAATGTAGAAAAATCCTGTGATTTTTTTTTTTTTAGCATAGAAAAGTGTCTTAAGGATCTGCAATCGGACATAAATGAAATATGTACTGATGAAGTACTACAAAGCACAACAGACTGCATTCAGTGGCTAAATAGCTACAATTTTTGTTCTCTCAGACCTTCTTCTACAGACCATGGAGAGCTGCTGGAGTTCCTTAAGACCCTGGTAAAAACTGTTTATTAAAAACCTTAGTGTTGGAAAATTGATTATACGGTTGTAGGTGGGGAGGAGGGTGGATGAGTTCAATTAGTTTTCTCATTCCAGCCTTTACTGTTGTGAGGATAGTTCATAAATCCATGTCTGCAGCAGGGTGTTGTTTCCTTTTGATCATGCCTTAAATAGACAAACTTGGAACAAAATCTTTCACAGATGCTACCATATGTTCAGCACTGCTTGGATTGTTTTATAAAACACATGTTGGTAAAAAACCATTGGAAATTACTGTCTACACTGAGGCTATCAGTGTTACTGCATGTTCTTCACTTCACTTGTATCAGTATGAATTTAATTCATCTAATGTATATGATTGTCATTTATGCATTATTTAAGCATAAACTTCCTACTTGCTGTGTGGCTGATGAGGTAGGTGATAGATGCCCCATCCCTGTGGCAAGGGATGTTCAAGGCCAAGTAGTGCTGAGCTCTGAGCAGCCTTATCTGGTTGAAGGTGTCCCTGCACATTGTAGGAGGATCGTACTAAACAAGCTTTTAAAAAGTCCCTTCCAATCCAAATTATTCTGATTCTACATTTCCCAATGAGAAATGTGGGAGCTACATTCTTTGTTCTACCGAATTATGCAACTAGATGCTACCAGAAATCAAATTTCACTTCAATGAAATTGAAGAGTATTAGAGAGTATTTTTATCCAAAATTTTTATTGAAAGCTTGCATTTGAATATATGTGTGGAAATTCGAAGTCTGGAAAATTGAATTGGCAAGGTAAGAGAAAATTGATCGCTCAGTAAATGATGGTCTTCAAGTTTATATATAATGTTTATATATGTGTGCATTTGATATGACACATGTATATATGAGATCAAAACACATAAACAGTATCCAGTGATTATTCTTGGTCACTTCCGTGTCATGGTTTAGTTGTAGACCATGAAGAACTTTAGGCTCAGATTCGCTGTAATGAAAGAGGAAAACTGTAGAGAAGGGGAGTGTTTTCTCTGGCTAGAGCACGAACTTGATAAAATCAGCTCTTGTTTTTTTTAAATTCTTAGAACTCTTGTTGCTCTTTCAATCACCATTGATTTCACTGGATATTGATCTGTATCAAATGAGGAAGTAAGAGATACCAGGTCTTTAGTGTTCATGTGGTGAGGAGTGATTTTGTTCTTTTCTGACAAAGTTGGTCAGTATGAATGTTGCTGTTAATCATCCCATTCAAGGATGTCAGAGGCTGTACACTTCATACTTGATCTAGATGAAATTAGAGAATCCCAGAAAAAGCTGACTATGATGTTCTTGTTTTCAGGAGTCTTTTGTTATTCCTCTTAGTCCACTTAAATCCTTACTGTATTCCCTCAGAATGTGGCATGGCACTGATGACTTACTTGTTGTCCATTCCATGCTTACTTCTTCCTTCAAGGTCTATTCAAGCCATATGCCTGAACACCAGGTGGCGACATTTGTTTGGAAAACACTAAAATGTCCCCATTTTATATAAAATGTGCTTTCCAGCTCTCCAGCTTCCCCGGAGCTTACTAACTGCATGACAGTCTTGCTGTGAGCTGTAGTATCCAGTTAAACCTTGAGAACGGCTCTGTGGCAGGCTGTTAAACAGACAGCAAAGTGAGAAGCCTGGAAGTCTCAATTCTGCAGTTTATCCTGAAAACACTTTTGGAGCTCAGCAACTTTCACATCACTATTTCCAGGCTTATGGCTTCTTAGATAATCCAGCCTGTTGTGTAGATGGAATTACAGATGAAAAATCTATCTGTACTGTCTGTATCTGTAGTACTGACCATACTACAGTCTGTCTGTAAGAAGTTATATTCAGTTCTATAAACAGGTCTGCAGTAAACTATATTTTCAATAATATTCAGCATTAATGAGATTATTATGAACTGACCTTTCTTAAATATATATCTCTATCCATTGAATTAATTAGATAATTTCTTCTGGCATGCTTTTAATTAGATATATATAATTCATATTCAATAACAGGAGCCTTCTTTCTACTTCAGGACAATATACCTATTCATTGTTATAATTTATTATGTGTATTTATTTTGTTAGGAATTTTGTTAAAGCTGGTGAGACAATTGAAAAACAGTACAAAGTTCTTTCTGGGCTTTGCTTGGGGTGCTATATTTAGGTTTATTACCTAATAATTGTTATTAGGTAATAAACCTAAATTATTGTTATTACAATAATTGTTATTACCATACATTTGTAAATTTGTTATTACCATACATTTGTTATGTATGGTTGTTATTACCATGCATTTGTAAATTTTTATGAAAATACCAAGAAGTTCTTCATAAAGCCTGAAAATGTTAATTATGTGAAGTTTTGTCATTCTGTGTACTGTCTTGTAACTCAATATTTAAAAGCTGAGTATATGCACTAACACATTGTCATTAAACTCTGTTCCTGATAAAATAATGGCAGATTATTTTTTTAATCAAGTCTTCATCTTACTGTATTTGTTTATTGATATGGTAGGTAGTTTTGCATATTACACAGTAATCTGGCTGGTAAACTGCAGCTGGTTTTCTATATGTTATTGTTATGACTAACTTTCTTTGCTCAAAAGGGAACTTTATATGCGTCTCCAAAACCTTTAGATACTAATTTGCATCTTTTTCTCTTGAATAGTGCTGGCATAATCTCTTGCAATATTTTTATAGATTAATTTTTAATTTAAATAGTGTATATCAGTATTGGCAATGTGTGAAGACATTTGATGACACTTTTCAGGGCTTCAAAGCTCCCTTCAGGTACTATTTCTGAGTATAACTACATCTAAAATATAATTTCCAAGATCCTGTTTTTAATGTTGTAGTTTAAATTGCAAAGGGCTTGAAACAGTCCTTCGATATATAAAAATATTTCTGCTTTGCCTTGCAAAGCAGCAGTAGGGATTTGCTTGGAAGGTCATTTGGATTGACAGTTGAAGGCATCAGGTGCATGCACTGTTTTGACAGCTTCTCTTGCTTTGTACATTTCAGAAGGTAATATTTGAGCATGATTTATAAAAAAACCCCAAACATTTAAAGTACAGAAGTCTACTTGCCAAGAGACAACCTTTCAACACAGTGGTTAGTAATCGGGGTTTCAGTTTACACTTTGAAACACATTTTTCTTTGGGGCCACTAAACTTTGTAGAGTAGTTTAGCAGATAATAAAAGAAAATGGGATCAGTATTATGCATTTTGATACATATGATTTAAGATTTGAACCAGTTACACATATTTCTATTACATGCACATGCTTTTGTAGGATGATATTCAATTGATAATTTCCCTCATTATTCCATCTTCCACATCTTTCCCGCTTGTTAAGTAAGAAGAATTAATAAGAATTTTTTAAAATAAAGATCTAAAATGGAAGAAAAATAGGTAGTGTGTTATTCTTAAGACTTTCTTTATAAGAGGCAATCATGCTTCCAGTTTGTTATTTGGAATTAGTTACTGTAGTGAAAGTGGGTTTTTTTTTTCAAGAAACTCTGGTCACAGTAGAGTGCAACAAGAAGTTTAAACCCTCTAAGGTATGTAACAGGTTTGAAGCATCCAGAACAAAGAATAGGACTTCTGAATTTAAAATTTTTTTACACTCTAAAGCATACTTATCTATTGATAAAATCTTGCTACAGGAGAAAGATTTATCATTTGGCATTTCAAAATGGTTATGTTTATGCAATGCCATACTCAAACTTGAATAATTTACCTCTCCTTCAAAATGGGAACAGAAATAAAACTAATAGTTTCTTCAAATACCGTAAGTTAAATAAATGAGCAATGCTGAACATGGAAGGTAGCAAAGGTTTCTTTAGCAGACTTGCTTTATAGGATGGAGTATGACTTGCAGACTGTGCTGATTTCAAGTGTCTAGTACAAGGCTATGTTTTGGATTTGTGCTGAACACACAGCACAATATAGAGGTTTATCTATTATTGCCAAGCAGGGCTTACACAGAGCCTTTCTGGTGTTCAGACTGTGACACTTGTGAGGATGTTGGGGGTGCATGGGAAGATGTGAGGAGACACAGCCAGGACAGGTGACCCAAACTGAACAAAGAGATATTCCAGACCATGTAGCAGCAGGCTCCGTATATAAAGTATGGGGAAGAAAGAGAACAGGTATGTCTGAAATGATGACATGATGATGAGTGACGCTGTCCTGGAGATGGCTGAACACCTGCCTGCCATTGGAAGCAGTGAATTAATTCCTTGTTTTGCTTGGCTTGTATGCACGGCTTTTGTTTTACCTGTTAATCTGTCTGTCTCTAAACCCATGAGTTTTGTGGCTTTTACCCTTCCAGTTCTCTCCTCAGTCCTGCTGGTACAGGAGTGAGCAAGTGGTTGCCTGGGGCTTGGTTGCTGGCTGGGTTGAAACTGTGACAGAGACCCAGATAAAGGACATGACTGGAATGAACCCCTCTGAGGTGGTTTGCCACAATGCTTTTTTCTGTTGGAGAGAAGCAATGGGAGATGAAGGAGCAAGTGAGAGGGCTTCCAGATTCTCATCTGCTTAAGGCTTTCCTATTGAAACCAAGAAAGTCAAGAATATTGCCAATTCCACTCAGTTTTCTTGTGATGGTAGTATTGAGCTATGACAAGAGGAGCTGCCATTTGCTGCATGACCTCTTGAAGGTGAAGCAGCTCTAAGGTCAGAGATCCTTGCCCTGGACTGAGAGAGAGCTCTTCAGACTTGAATGACGAAGGAGCAGCAGCCATGTGATTTCACTTGCTTTGTTAACTGACTGCCTTCTCCAGCCCATCCAGCATAGATGTACATGGAGGTCACCAATATAACAGTCTGCATCTTGGTTTGATGGGTTACACAGCTTCTTATTCTTCTGTTCTGTGTCATCTGAGGCTCTTTAATTCTTGACAGCTTTTCAATTTTAGTTCTTTAAGGGAAGACATTTTATTCTTAGAATGGTCTTTTTGATGATTGCCTGCTGAGCCATAGAAGGTGACCATTTTATAAATTCCTTGCTTGGTTTTATGAGAAAAACCTGTCATTATCTGTGTAAATCTTAAGTAAATTTTTCATACCGTTTTCTTTAAAAGGTACTATGACAACAAAAAAGGCTGCTAAGGGTTTCCTTTGAACTGTGGTCTAAAATTGATTGAGAAAAGAGGTTGGGGATATAAGAAAGATGAGAAGATGAGTGTGAGTTATTGGCAGAGGTAGACAAGCAAATTAATTTGCTTATAAATCCTGTTTTCCATGGATTTTATAATTTCAGTTGCTTACATATCTTACTTGCTGTTAAGATAATTAATATAGGAAACTGTTTTTAATCTAATATGAAGCTGTTAATTTAATGAACCAGAATTAATAAAAATTTCTAAAGTATTGTCTGATTTACCTTTGTTAGCAAAGCTTGTTGAAGAATGAGAAGAATCAAGAAGAAATGGTACTTCACTTCCTTCTGGACCTCTCTAGTCAATGTGGTGTCTCATTTCCCTGTACTGCAAGTGGGACATCATTTGAGTTAACATCTTCGCTTCATACCATTCAGGATGATTCAGCTGTGGATGTGAAATCTCTTTGGGACGATGTGAGATTGCATCTTCGACAATTTTTAGTAAATAGACTGCAAAGTCAAGAAGAAACAAACACTAATGCTTTGCCACAACAAATGGAGTTTAAAACTCAGTGTGTACAGCAGCTTTTGTTTCTTTATCCCAAATCAGAAGTCTTAATGAGGTATCAAAATATGCAGAATAAACTGGTTAGTGATCTTCTACAAAACTGTATTTTTTCTAGTTGTGGTGAAACAAATTTTGATAAGGTGGTTCATGGTTACCAAAGTTCCATACCAAGATTATGCACAATGATAAAAGAAGATTTGTATATACTAAGTGGAACAATTGGTCCATCTTCGTCATTAAAGTTTATTAATGAAACTTACCTGGATACCATCACTGAAGAAATGACAGTTCTTCTTGAAAGACTTTGTGAGCTGCAGTTCAAAGAAAATGCTCTACACATTGTTAAAGCAAACAAGATTTCAAAGAAGCATAGAGGAAGAGTTCACGCTGTGGGTTAGTAGTCTTATTTTATGTTCTCTGTAGTTAGGTGTTATTTTAATTATGCTACTTTTTTTTTTAAATATTCTTGATTATTTTCTGTGAAGAGAGAGAGTTGAAAATAGTAATTACAGCTTTACGTTTGAAACACATTACTGCAGTTGAACTCTAGACCATGTCAGAATTGTGGTGCAAAAGTAAGAGAGAGTAACTCATGTAATTAAACAAGATCCTATTATAATCCATTGGATAATATTGTCATGCCATAGTAATTTTTTTCAGCCTGTTTTATTCCAGCTACTGAAATATGTACTAGAATAAGAATGATTTAATCCAGATTTCTATAAACATAAACTGTTGAGTCTTCTACTCCCACTTTTTTAAAATTGTCAGACATTTAAAAGAAAGATTATAGGAAATACTGTACAGTAATGTGTCCATAAAACAGATACTGACTCACACATCAGAGCTGACCCAAAAGATTACTATGCAGATAAGAATGAATATAGAGGTTTATCTAACCTCTATATTAAGAAACAAACAGAAAATGCATTTACGCTTTCTAGTCTTGTGAAAGTACAGTAAGTTCAAGTTAATACTGCCTGGTCATTTTCTCTTGTTCCAAGAAATGTCATATAGCATATATACTACTGAGTTGCAGTGTTGGTGGTAAACAATGAAAAGAAATAGTGTCAGAGTACTGATGAGATATGAAATAACAAGAAATGTGGTTTTGGATTACATAGTGAGATGTGAGTCAGTGAAACAATTCACTGACAACAAAAAATTGCCTGGAGTTAACAGAAGTTTGTAACTTAATTTTTCTTTCAGTCTCAAAACAGCTCACAAAGATGGGGAAGTTCAATTATCTCCATTTTACATCTAAAGCATGGAGTTTAAAGTGATCACAAACATGTCTCTTTGAAAAATCATACTTTAACTCTGTATTATAAGATGCAAGAAAACAGTCATTCAGTCTATTAATGGAGTACTTCCTCTGCCTACATTTTTTTTTTGCCACAGGATGAGTCTAATTCTCAAACTAAGAAACAAACAGAAAATGCATTTACGCTTTCTAGTCTTGTGAAAGTACAGTAAGTTCAAGTTAATACTGCCTGGTCATTTTCTCTTGTTCCAAGAAATGTCATATAGCATATATACTACTGAGTTGCAGTGTTGGTGGTAAACAATGAAAAGAAATAGTGTCAGAGTACTGATGAGATATGAAATAACAAGAAATGTGGTTTTGGATTACATAGTGAGATGTGAGTCAGTGAAACAATTCACTGACAACAAAAAATTGCCTGGAGTTAACAGAAGTTTGTAACTTAATTTTTCTTTCAGTCTCAAAACAGCTCACAAAGATGGGGAAGTTCAATTATCTCCATTTTACATCTAAAGCATGGAGTTTAAAGTGATCACAAACATGTCTCTTTGAAAAATCATACTTTAACTCTGTATTATAAGATGCAAGAAAACAGTCATTCAGTCTATTAATGGAGTACTTCCTCTGCCTACATTTTTTTTTTGCCACAGGATGAGACTTTGCATGTTTTTGTGCCAGTACATCTATCAGTACGGATTTCCAGTGCACAGTTCTTTGTTATAGTCAAAAGTACAGAGGAAGGTGAAAACAAACAGTAAATCTTAGGATTTTCTTAAAACATTTTCTGCAATTAATTAAAATATAATTTCTATATTTCATAAATATTAGACCAGCTTTTAATTTTTATTGAACATTCATTAAATGTCAGATTTCAGATGCAGCAGCTGTCTCCTTAGCCCCCATAAAATGTGTTTAGAATTGCTGTTCATTAATATAATTTAATTCTCAGGATTACTTTCTTCACAGGGGCTGTCATAGTCATGTCTTTGTGTTATTTTTTTCAAGAAGTTAATATGGGAAGTAGGTATTGATTTGCCTACTGGTTTTCTACTATTCCTACTAATTTTCTGCAGAAAACTGCTCATACACACTTCAGCCAGGGAAACCATAAGGCACCAATAGTGAAATCAGAAATCAGGCTAAAACAACACATGTGGTCAGAGTTGTGAAGTTTTGAGTGTGATTTCAGGTTTTTTTTTCATTTTCTGGATGTGTCATAGCCTATTATTTGGTATTATTCATCAATTTAAGCAAAAATTATCCTTGTATCATAACTAAAACAGTTATTGCTGTGTAACTTATTTATCTATGAGCTTGTATGTGAAGAGTCTTTTTTGGAAGGAGATTTCTCTCCTATAAATGTATCAATATACTACATTTGTACCAAACTAAGTTATTTAAAGGTATTTTTTGTCATTTAGAATTAAAATATTCACATGGCAGTTCACAGTGAAATAACTATTTGGGAAATATTTTAAGAGATTTGTAATGGTGGCCAAGTTCTTAATGTCAAATTACTTTTCCTGCTTGGAACTCTTAAATTCTGGTACTTTGTTGTCCTTGCACAATTTAGAGTGGAATTTTTTTTTTCTCAACCAAACATAGGTTAGGTTAAAAGACAGCTTAAAATAGATTACCTTGCCAGTGATACCCAGTTTGCCAAGTATTAAAATAACCTCATGCATAAATATAGAGGGAAGGACGGAAAAAGAAGGGTTTTTTCTTAGCTGAAAGACAGATGTGTTTCTTATTTTTTATATATGTTGCCTCTGCCCTTTGGGAGTCCTCAAACCAACACATTTCAAAATATCAGAATAATTTAATCTAGGGCATTCAGTTGGGACTGTTATCCCAGAGGTGATAGAAGGGTTTGTGTTTGCTTAGTCCATCCTCAGGGTAATGTGGTTTTTATTTGATATTTGTTGTGGGGTTTTTTTCATAAGAACTGCTGTAATTTATCCTACTATACAGCTGCTGTAGGGAAAAAAAACAACAGAAAATAATAAAGCAGTGCCAGAACCTCAGAAAACTTTCTATAGACAAACTTTCTATTTCTTTTGGGAAAATAGAAGTTATCTATAACAAGCTTTAACAGAGTTATCTTTAAAATATTCCATATATAATAATCTATATGTGCAGTAAGAAATTAACATTTTTCTTTTCATTCTGTACTACAGCAGTTATTAGTGAAGTACTATAAAGAGATTGTATCCATGTCTCAGTACCTAGGAAGTGTGTGGCTTCACAGAGAAGCTGCCAAAATGGCATATGAAAAGAGGTGAATTTTGGAACTCAGCGTCTTTAGTTGCCAACTCTAGTGGAGGCGGGTGGTTTTATGTTGCAGCTTGATCCTCTTACCTGTTAGATTTGTGCCTCTTATTACCGTTAATAATGCAGGATTCAGCCAATAGTATTCGGGCTGTTACTGTACAAGGTTATTATGTAACATTAATTATAATGTCTTTGTGTACTCTCAAAACATAGTGTTTCCAGCTTGATAGAATAATGTGCCAGGAATGTTTTCCAGCGCACTCCAAACCAAGGTTTTTGGTTACTAATGGGATTTTGTTATCTCAGGCTTTCTATTGCATTAATCATTTGCATTTTCTAAAGTTTATATAATGTTGTGGTATTTAAAAGTGTATGAAAAATATATGTTGACAATACTTAGCATGAAAAGACTCTCACTTGGTTTTCAGGTTATCTCTTGTGATTTTTTGCTCTGATTTCCAATGTGGTATTTCTCAGAAATTATTTGTGGTAAGTCTGTGTATTGTATTTTAGCTTTTAAACCTTTTTTTTCCTTTGTTTACAAAAACATTAAGCTGGTTTAATCTGGCATGACTAACTTATATTAATTTGTCATCTGTTAGATGAGAAACAGCTACTCTTACAGATTATAGGACATCTGCCAGAGAAACTTAAATCACATGGAATTACGAACAGTTGGTGTATTAGTGGAAGGTCTTCTTTGGCTTTATTTATATAGTTTTTGTATATAACTGGAGTATAAATACTTACGTAAACTAATTAACTGTTTTTTCTAATTTCCTGTGCTTAAAATGAAACAGAGATGAGAGCTTTAAGTTATATTTTTTCTGACATATTCAAATTGATTGAATATTAATATTCAATCAATTTGAATATTCAATTAATATTTTTAAATATCACAATCTTTCCAGAGACCCTTAAACTTTTAAAATCATAACTGAACTTCATTTTTAAAATCTGAGGTAATAGATACTGTGTTGCTAAATATCAGTAGTTCGTTATTTTTAAGAAAAATATTATTACAAACTGGAGGTAAACCAAAGTGATACAGATTTAACTAAACACATTTTTAGGTAGAAAATAATTAAAACACCTTCAGAGATATACTATAATATTAATAGGAATGTTTTACACTTTTATCCCAGTATATAGCCTTTTAGTTAGATGTCCAGCAGGCTTGCTTTCTCCAGAATATAACTAATGTCCATTCTATTATAAAGATACATTCAAATGCAAAATGCGATTTAAATTATTATATTTTAAATCTATTATCTTTGAATGTTCGTGCGTCCCTACAGAATATATTGTGTTTGTGAAATAGCTAAAATGAATATGGCATATAGCTAATCTTGAACAGAAGGACTCGCTACCATGTACAGGAGCTGCATTTGTGCAGTGGAGTTGAGAGCAAGAAGAAAAACAGGCTCTGGAGTAACTTGTTGAAGTGAAGAAAACTTTGTAATGTTAAATTAAAGCACTTGGTATTAAAAACCTCTTTTGAGCTCACTTATACTTACATATTCCCAGCAATTTGCTGAAGAGCTAACTGAAGAGATAAAAGTTTTGGGTTTTGCACATTTATCTTAAATTTGATTACTTTACTATTTTTATGTGCGTATGGTATTATTCCCCCTTGTTTATAATTTCTGCTTTTTGAAATTAAGAGCTTTCGTTTCAGATTTGCTTTTATCCTTCTGTATAATTTTCATTCACTTGGTTTGTGATCTCAATAGCCTCCATTATGGCCTAAAACAAATAATCTATGATTTTTGTCTTTCCTAACAAAAATATACCTAAAATAGTATTAATACTTGCTGGTTTAGCAACTGCATGATTAAAAATACCCCAACTATTCACA